AAAAAAAAAAAAAAAAAAAAGACATACCTGGCACTACCACGATCCTGCCCTTTGCCTGAAAGGGTAAAATAACATGTTAGTGACATTGGTAAATCACTGCCTCTATTTCACCATGCACAGGGTTGTGAAGTTGCAAACAAAATGCAGCACCTTCACCGAGCTCACAAATGTCACTCTGTTCATGATTCAAGCACTGACTTTTTCCATGCTGCTCATGTTTTCCAAAAAAAAAAAAAAAAAAAAAAAAGAAAGAAAGCCAGAGTTCATACAGCCTAATCCAATTTCCTCCTACCTTTCCATCCCATCTGGCTATTTCTCAGGTGCATATGCTCTGTTTTCCTAGCAGCAGCTGGGAGAGCGCAGCAGGGACCTTGCTTTGCTGTTTCTGTTGGCTCCTGAGAGCGGCGGGTTCCCAGCCAAGCAAGTTCCTAAGCTCCATGGCCCCAAGGGGCAGCTCACATGGGTGCAAGGGCCAAAGTGGAACCTAAGCTCCAGCCACCTCTGCCTCCCTCCTCCCAGGCTGCAGGCAGACAGCCCAGCTGGCCTTTGCAGGAGGAGATTTCATGGATCCAGCCTGCACAGATGCTGGGGAAAAGGAGTAATCCAAGGTAGGGCAGGATGGCAAATGCTCCTTGACAAAAGTTTCCTTGCAGGAATGACAGTTTCTGTAAAGGAGCTGCCTCCAGGCCACACGCAGGAAGTAGCCAAGGTAACACAGAGCAGCATGGAGGACACCAACCTGCTCAACAAGTCTCTTGATTAAGGACAAGCCTTCCAGCGCAGAGCTGTCGCAGCCGCTGGTCAGCACCCGCTCAAACCCCAGGGAAATCAGCGTCTCCAGCGCTACGAGCGGGTCATGCACCATGTCAAAGGCTGAAAGACCAAGAGAAAAGCCTGAGAATGGATCATAAATCACCCAGCTTGTCCTTCAAGCCCAGCTCGGGAAGCAGAGCCAACAAGGGGCACGCTCACATGTGGCCACGGCTGCAGAGCCGCAGCTCTCCCAGCAGCAGCTCACACAGAGCTCAGCTCCCGGGATATTTCACCCCTCCAGCCAACACAGGGCACTGACAGAGCCACCAGCCCCCCAGCCAGACCCTCAGGGACCCTCCTCCCCCTTGGGAGGCCAGCTCAGGCACAGCCCTGCTCACGCAGGGCACGGGCAAGGAAAGCTCAGCCTATCCCACAGCTCCCGGCCGGGCCCACGGGGCCAGGGCACTCACCTCGATGGAAGGTGACGGGCAGAGGGCGGCAAACAGCTGCAATGAACAAAGCACACGGTCAGCAAGTCCGGCCCCGAGGCTCCTGTGCTAGAGCTGGAAAGGGAGGGGAAGTTAAAGAGGCCAAAAGCTTCTTCCTGGGGAGCTCAGGAGTTTCCCAAGACTTGCTGAGAACATGACAGCAGCTGCTCCCATCCATCCAGGCTCTTTGATGGGGAAAAATCATTCTGCTGCTTGCGGAAGCCTCATATTTTGGATCCTCAATGAGCAAAACCTCTCCCCACGCGCACACCGGGCCGTGCCGGACTCCCAGTAACGCACGGACGCGCCTTGGCGCGGGCGGCGGGCCTCACCGAGCAGCGCGGTGCAGAGCTCCGTGTCCACGCGGCCGTCCTCGGTGAGCGCGCCCAGCACGAGCCCGTCGGCGCCGTGCAGCTTGGCGAGCCGCGCGTCCGCCTTCATCACCTCCACCTCGCGGTCCGAGTAGAGGAAGTCTCCTCCGCGGGGCCGGATGAGCACGAACACGGGCACGCGCACGCACTGCTTCACCACCTGCAGCAGCCCTGCGCGGGGCAACGCGGCGCCGCTCGGTACCGGCACCGGCGGCTGGGACCGGCACCGGCGCCGGGGCCGGGGCGGCGGGACTCACCCATGCTGGGGGTGGTGCCTCCTTCCACGAGCCCCGCGCACAGCTCGATCCTGCCGGCGCCTGCGGGGAGGCGGCGTCAGCGGCGCCCGGGGCACCACGGTGCGGCCGCCGCCGCCGCCGCGGGCCTTACCTCCGCGCTCCGCGTTCACGGCGGACTCCACCGAGTCCACGCACACCTCCATGAGGAAGCCATCGTCCATGCCTGCGGGGGAGCGCCGCGCTCAGCGCGCCCGCCGCCGCCCA